AGTTCACATCCTTTATTCACAAAGAAAAGACCTTTACCTTCTTCCTACAGCTACCGGTGTTAAGACATCCCTAAAAACTGCTCTACCATTACATTTTGGTTAGGAGTCACCATCATGGTGACCTATATGCTTCACAGATGAATTCATATCCACATTTCAAACCACAGCTTGATTAGGTTTGGACTTTTGTGATCAGATAGTTTCAGGAGGGATTTGCTTGCTTTTAAGTTTCCTTGTATTGCTGAGGTCTTCATATTAATCTTAGTGGGAATTCAGAAATATCCAAGGGATGAGTAATGAACTGGTGGGATGACTGCCAGGAGATTCTTTGGATGGGTCAGTTTGCATTACCCCCAACCCCCTCCATGTTTTTCTTTTAATTTTGGCTGGAAGTGACTAAGGAAGTGTGTACTTGATATGAGAATCCAAGGAATGATAGGATAAGGATTACAGGTCTGTTTTTTGGATGAGCCTCTGGACTGGCCCCATGGTTATCTGAGCATTTCAGAAAGAGAGGGAGGGAATCTAGGTGAGCCACTCTGTCAGACATGGGTACACCCTTTTCTGATAAAAGGTGTCAGAAAGTGGAGAAGCAGCATAGCCTCTCCAATTCTACATGACACTTATGACTGTTTTAGGGCATAGAAGCTTCTGAGGAAACTAGCATCATTTTGTTTTCAGGGTTTTGCCAGGAGTTTTGCCATCAACAGGAGGGCTCATCTTTTCAAAGACATGGACATCTTCATGGTGAGCTTCTGCTGCACTGAATTCTATCAAATACCTTTGTGTTATTTTTCCAGCAGCAGACAGCAGTGAAAGGGGAGAACATGGTGGATTCCTCTTGGTAATAGGGAGGAGTGTTCATGAACTCTCACAAGACATACTTCAGGTATTCCTGGAAATTACCAACTAAGACCTGAGATCTTGTGTGGACAATGTAAGCCAGTAATCAGTTCAATAGGAGTTATTTGTTTCATTCTGGCAGTTATACATGATGAAACCTGACCAAACAGTTTACTCTTGTAAAGTCTTTGATTTTATGGTCCTTTTAAAAGGAGGTATTATAAGAATTGATGCAAATATCTCCAGGAGAGGGACTTTAAATAAATGGAAAATTACTATTGCCACATTATTTCTCAGATCAATGTTTTGTTCTAATTAGTTATACATGATAGTAGAATGCATTTTAATACATCATACATAAATGGAGAATAGCTTCTCATTCTTCTAGTTGTACATGATATAAAATTACAACAGTTGTGTAAATATATATGCACATAGGGTAATGTCTGATTCATTGTACTGTCCTTTCTTCCTCTATGTCCTCTTTCCTTCCTTCACTCTACTCTAATTCAAAATACCTTTATTTTTCCCTACCCCCCCACCTTATTGTGAATTAGCATCTACATATGAGAAAAAACATTTGGCCTTTGGTTCTTTGGGACTGGCTTATTTTGTTTTGCATGATATTCTCCAGCTCCATCCATTTACTGGAAAATGCCATGATTTCATTTTTCTTTAAGGCTGAGTAATATTCCATTGGGTATATATGTATACACCACAGTTTTTTTATCCATTCATCTTTTGAAGGGCACCTAGGTTGGTTCCATAGCTTAGCTATTGTGAATTGAGCTGCTATAAACAAACATTGATGTGGATGCTGATTTTAAGTCCTTTGGTTATAAACCTAAGAGGGGATAACTGGGTCAAATGGTGGTTCCATTCCAAGTTTTATGAGGAAGCTCCATACTGATTTCCATAGTAGTTTCATCAATTTGTAGTCCCACCATCAATGTATGAGTGTAACTTTTACCCCACATCTTTGTCAACATTTTTTGTTGTTTGTATTCTTGATAATTGCCATTCAAACTGGAGTGAAATGGAATCTCAGTGTAGTTTTGATTTGCATTTATCTAATTGCTAGAGATGTTGAACATTTTTTCATATATCTGTTGATTGATGGTATTTGTTCTTCTTTGAATTGTCTGTTTCCCATAGATTCTGATATGTTGTGTCTGTGTTTTCAGTTATCTCAATGAAATTTTTAATTACCTCTTTGATGTCTTCTATAACCCATTGATCATTCAGTAACATATTGTTCATTCTCCAAGTGATTAGGATTTTTCCCTCCTTCTTTTATTGTTGATTTCCAGTTTCATTCCGTTATGATCAGATAAGATGCATGGTATTATCTCTACTCCTTTATAATTGCTAAGAGTTGCCCTATGGCATAATATATGATCTATTTTTGAGAAGGATCCATGTGCTGCTGAGAAAAAAGTATATCCGCTTGTTGATGGTTGATATATCCTATATGTGTCAGTTAAGTCTAGGTTATTAATTGTGTTATTGAGTTCTGTAGTTTCTTTATTCAACTTTTGTTTGGAAGATCTGTCTAGTGGTGAAAGAGGTGTGTGGAAGTCACCCATAATTACTGTGTTGTGGTCAATTTGTCCATTGAACTTGAGGAGAGTTTGTTTTATGAACATAGCAGCACCATTGTTTGGGGCATATAAATTGATAATTGTTATGTCTTATTGTTGAATGGTTCCCTTTAACAGTATATAGTGTCCTTCTTTATCCCTTTTGATTAATTTAGGCTTGAAGTCGTTTTTATTTGATATGAGTATAGCACCCCTGCTTGCTTCTGAGGTCCATGTGCATGGTATGATTTTTCCCAGCCTTTCACCTTCAGCCTCTGTGTGTCTTTTCCTGTCAGATGAGTCTCCTGAAGGCAGCATATTGTTGGATATGCTTTTTTAATCCAGGTTACTGGCCTATGTCATTTAATTGGTGAGTTTAAGCCATTAACATTTAGGGTTACTATTGATATATTGTTTGTACTTCCAGTCATGTTTGTTTATTTATTTAATTATTTTTAAAATTTGGTTTGTTTTTCCTCTTTGATTAGTTTTTTATCCCCCCACTTTACTGAGGTACTTCCCACTGTTGGTTTTTGTTGTTGTTTTTCATTTCCTCTTCGTGTAGTGTTTTGCCCAAAATGCTTTGCAGTGCTGTTTTTCTGGCTGCAAATTCTTTTAACTTTTGTTTATCATGGAAGATTTTTATTTCATTGTCAAACCTGAAGCTTAGTTTTGCTGGATACAATATTCTTGGTTGGCACCCATTATCTTTCAGCATTTGAAAAACATTGTTCCAAGATCTCGCTTTCAGTGTCTGTGATGAGAAATCAGCCGTTAACCTAATTGGTTTACCCCTAAATGTAATCTGCCTCCTTTCTCTTGTAGCTTTTGATATTCTCTCTTTGTTCTGTATGTTGGATATCTTCATAATAATGTGATTGGTGGCGGTCTGTTGTGGTTTTGAATATTCAGCGTCCTGTAGGCTTCTAGGATTTGTAAATCCGTTTCATTTTTCATGTCTGGAAAGTTTTCTAAAATTATTTCATTTAACAGATTGCTCATTCCTTTGGTTTGGACCTCTATACCTTCCTCTATCCCAATGACTCTTATTTTTTTTTCTTTTATGATATCCCATATCTCTTGGATGTTTTGCTCATGATTTCTTACCAACCTTTCTGAGTTGACTAGACTCTTTTTGAGATGATATATTTTGTCTTTGTTGTCTGATGTTCTGACTTCTACTTAGTCTACTCTACTGGTGATACTTTAATTTGGTTTATACTTTCCTTCATTTCTAGGATTTCTGTTTGATTTTTTTTATAACCTGTATCTCCCTGTAGAGTTGTTCATTTGCTTTTTGAATTTATTTATGCAATTCATTGTTGAAGTGATCTTTCATTGGTTGCATTTGCTGTCTAATGATCTCTTTAAGATTCCATTCCATCTGAGTCAGGTATGCCTTGAGTTTTTTTATCTGACTATTTTTCTGATGCAGCTAGCATCTCCTGTAAATTTAAGCTGTCATGCATTGTTTGTATTCCTTTTCTTCCTTTTTTTCATGATGCTCCTGTTTCTTTCCAGCACTGTTTGACTGCTGTGTTATTATTTTCTCCTATAAATTTGTTTTGGTTTTGTATAGCTCCGAGATCTCTCCTTTGTTATGGGAGACAATGTCTAGAGATGTTGGGTTTAATTGTGATTTAAAGTAAATTCATTAGTTTCATTAAAGGCCTATATATTTTAATGGCATATAGAGAATTAATGTTTGTCCTTAGGATTTTATGTTAAGTTCAGGAGATATGATGGTATGGAGGTTAGTATATCTTAGCTTCTTTGGGGGATTGCTCAAATGCAGGCGGATATTAACCAGAGAATAGAAAGGAGTATTTGGAGGTAGCTAAGGGCTTAGGAGGACTATAGTCCGTCTTGTAACATTCACCTATTTGCATTTAGTAAATTACACGTAATCGGATTGGTCATGCTTGGGAGGAAAGATAGGGAAAAGGTAAAGAAGAAAACCAAGAAAGAGAAAGGGAGAGAAGAAGTAAAAAAAAAAAGAAAAGAAAAAGAAGAAATGAGAAAAAATAATAAAATAAAGTAAAATTTAAATTAAAAAAAAATGCACTGTTAGGCTTCTATTTTCTTCGCTTCCAGTAGGTGGAGCTGTGCTTTCTGGACCAAGATTTTGCCCTCAGGATGTAGGAAACAATCCATGTGAGGCGGCTCTCCCCTCCCCCACCTGGTGTCTTTCCAACCCCGTTCACTTAGGGTTGTTCCTGTTTCTGGTCTCTAGCCTCCTCTCTTCTCCCGCCAGCCAGGTCTTTCCCAGTGTGGTACCTCTCCACAGTTCAAGCTACACTCTGGGCCTGCAGTTTCCTGGATGTGGAGTGCAGGAGTTGGGAACCGGTCCCCCATTATATCCATTCCCCCCCCTACCCCCCCCCCCCCCCCAGAGCTGGTGAGACAGGTTTCCTTTTAGCTGCTGGTGGGAGGGGGGAGTTGGAGGTCAGGTGCCTTTACTGTTCCCCACACCTCTGATATTCGCACCCACTCTGATATTCACGCCCATGGAGAGCTGGGTAGAGATTTTTTTTGTGATTTCCCCACTGTATGGGAGAGGGGCTGAGTGTCACACACATGTTCTGTTGCTGTATTTGCTTCGGTGGGGTCGGATCTGTCAAAAGCTGGCAACGGTGACGTCAGCTCTTCAATTTGGTGGCCGCTAGCCTCCTCAGTGGGGTGTCTGGTGTGGAGGGCAGATCTGGGCCGTTTGTCTCCCCTGTCCCAACCCCAGAACTCAGCCTGGAGCACTGTGGGTGCACAGTTGGCAGGATCCCACAGATTCCGTAGCACCATTTCTCTGTGTTGCTGGCATGTTGTTGCGCAGTGTCTGGCTGCGGGGCGGGCTGCCGATCAGTCAGCCTGGATCTCTGCACAGGGTTCACTCGTGATTGAGCCACGATTGCTGGTCCTCAGGTGTTGAAACTCTTCCTTTAGGTTTCAGTGCAGCCCAATTTTGCTGAACATTTCTATCAAGATAGCTTCCAGCTGTTCTAAACTCACTAATCACCAGTGCAGTGACGCGGGATATGGGGGTATCGCACTCCTTTGGCAGCCATCTACCCTTTTTTTCCCAGGAGTCTTGTTAAGGAAGTCAGTTCTTAAGCCAACATGGTGAAATTTGGGCCTACTTTTTCTTCTATTAGGTGCAGTGTCTCTGTTCTAGTGCCTAAATCCTTGATCCATTTGGAGTTGAGTTTTGTGTATGGTGAGAGATAGGGGTTTAATTTCATTTGCTATATGTATTTCGAGTTTCCCCAGCACCATTTGTTGAAAATATTATCTTTTCTTCAGTGTATGGTTTTGGCGCCTTTGTCTGGTATGAGATGCCTGTATTTCTGTGGTTTTGTTTTTGTGTCTTCTATTCTTTACTAATGGTCTACATGTCTGTTTTGGTGCCAATACCCTACCATTTTTGTTACTATGGCTCTATGTTATTATTCAAGGTCTGGTATTGTGATGCTCCTGATTAACTCTTCTTGCTAATACTTGCTTTGGCTATTCTGGGTCTCTTATTTTTCCAAATGAATTTCATGATTGCATTTTCTATTTCTATGAAGAATGTCATTGGTATTTTAATAGGAATTATATTAAATCTATATAACACTTTTGGTAATATGGCCATTTTGACAATGTTAATTCTGCCTCTCCAAGAGCATGGAGGTCCTTTCATCTTCTAAGGTCTTCTTCAATTTCTTTTCCAAAAAAAAAATTTGTAGTTTTATTGTAGAGGTCTTTTACCTCTTTTGTGAGATTGATTCCCAAATATTTTGCTTTTCTTTTGAGGCTATTGTAAATGGGGTGGTTTTCCTAATTTCTCTTTCAGTGGATTCATCACTGATATGTAGGAACACATTTGATTTATGGGTATTAACTTTATATCCTGATAATTTGCTGAATTCACTTATTCTCGAATGTTTCTGGTGGATTTTTTTTGGATCTTCTAAATATAAAATCATGTCCTCAGCAAATAGTGATAGTTTGAGCTCTTTTCCTATTCATATCCCTTTAATTTCTTTCTTCTGTCTAATTGTTTTGGCTGGGGTTTCAGGATGTTGTTGAGTAAAAGTGGTGAAAGAATAAAGTAAATAAAGTGGGCATCTTGTCTTGTACCAGATCTTAGAGGGAATACTTTCAATTTTTCTTCATTTAGAATGTTGATGGCCTTGGGTTTAGCATAGCTTTTACAGTGTTGTGGTATGGTCCCACTATCCCTAGTTTTCCTAGTGTTTTGAACATGCATCGTTGCTGCATTTTGTCAAATGCTTTTTCTCCATCTATTGAGATGATCATATGATTCTTGTTTTTATGTCTAATAATGTGATGAATTTTGTTTTGATTTCTGTATTTGAATGAACCTTACATCCCTGGGATGAACCCCACTTGATCATGGTACACTATCTTTTTAATATGGTTTTGTATGCAATTTGCCGGAATTTTATTGAGAATTTTTGCATCTATGTCCATCAGGGATATTGGTCTGAAGTTTTCTTTTCTTGATGTGTCTGGTTTTGATGACAGGGTGATACTAGCTTCATAGAATGAGTTTGGAAGGGTTCCCTCTATTCTATTTTATGGAATAATTTGAGAAGTACTGGTGTTAGTTCTTGAAGTTCTGTTAGAACTTAGCTGAGAATTGTCTGGTCCTTTACTTTTCTTAATTAATAGGCTTTTGATGGTGTTTTCTATTTCATTGCTTGAAATTTATATGTTTAAATTATGTTATGGCCTCCTTGTTCATTTTGGGTGGATCATATGTCTCTAGAAATTTGTTAACATCTTCAAGATTTTCAATTTTATTGGAGTGTAAATTTTCAAAATAGTTTCTGATTATTGTCCATATTTTAGTAGTGTCCATTTATATATTTCCTTTTTTCAACACAAACTTTAGTAATTTGAGTTTTCTCTTTCTTTCTCTTCATTAACATGCAGGGTATTATGTCTCTCTCTCTCTCTCTTTTTTGTATTTGATAAGAAGTGCTTTATGGCATGACATATGATCTAGTTAAGAGAAGGATCCATGTGTTGCTGAGAAGAAAATGTATGTACTCTTTGATGGGTGAAATATTCTATGTACATCTATTAAGTCTAAATAAACATTTTTTTTTCAAAGATCCAGCTTTTTGTTTTGTCAATTTTTTTTGTTTTGATTTTACTGATTTCAGCTCTGATTTTAATTACTTCCTGTCTTTTACTGTTTTTTGTGTCAATTTATCCTTCTTTTTCTAGGGCTTTGAGATGTACTGTTAGTTCATTTATCTCATGACTTTCTATTCTTTTAATGAATGAGCTCAGTGCAATGAACTTTCCTCTTAGCACTGCCTTTATGGTGTTGTCCCAGAGATTTTGATATGTTGCATCACTATTCTCATATACAGTCAAGTATTCTTTTATTTCATCCCTGATTTCTTCTTCTATCCATTCCTCATTCAAAAGCATATTGTTTAGTCTCCAGGTGTCAGAATAGCTTCTATTTTTTATTTTATCACTGGTTTCTAATTTTATTCCATTATGATTTGATAGAATGCAAGGTATTATGTCTCTCTCTTGCTCTCTTTTTTGTATTCAATAAGAGGTGCTTTATGGCATGACATATGGTCTATTTAAGAGAAGGATCCATGTGCTGCTGAGAAGAAAATGTATGTACTCTTTGATGGGTGAAATATTCTATGTATGTCTATTAAGTCTAAATTATTGATTGTATTATTTAGTTCTATAGTTTCTTTGTTTAGTTTTTGTTTGGAGTATTTATCCAGTCATGAGAGAGGTGTCTTAAAGTCACCCAGTATTATTGTGTTGTGGTCTATTTGACTCTTAAAACTGTGAAGGGTTTGTTTGATGTATGTAGATGCTCCATTGTTTGGGGCATAAATATTTATGAATTGTTATGTCTTGTTGATGTATAATACCATTAAGCAGTATAAAATGTCCTTCTTTGTCCCTTCTGACTAACTTTGGCTTGAAGTCCACTTTATCTCATATAAGGATAGAAACCCCTTCTTGTTTATGTAATCATGTGAGTGATTTTTTTTTTTTCACCATCCTTTCACTTTCAATCTGTGGATACCATTGCTTATGAGGTGAGTCTTTTGGAGACAGCATATTATTGGGTCTTTTTTTTTTTAAATCTAATCTGCTAGTCTGTGTCTTTTGATTGATGAGTTTAGCCTATTAACATTCAAGGTTATTACTGATATGATTTGTATTCCTGGTCATTTTGGTTTATTTCTGGTTTTTAATTTGAATTATTTTTTACTTTCATTGACTATGACATAGTGTAGTTCCTCCCTTTGCTGGTTTTCACTTTTTTTTTTTCATTTTATCTTCATGGAACATCTTGTTGAGAATGTTCTGTAGCACAGATTTTCTAGTTGTGAATTCTTTTCTTTTTTAAAAAATTATTATGGAAGGTTTTCATTTCATCCTCAATCTGAAGCTTAATTTTGTTGGATATAGACTTCTTGGTGGCATCCATTTTCTTTTAGAGCTTGGTATATGTTATTGCAGGACCTCCTTGCTTTGAGGGTATGTGTTGAAAAATCAGCTGAGATCTGAATTGGCTTCCCCCTATAAGTAATCTAGTATTATTTTCTCACAGCCTTTAAAATTCTATCCTTACTCTGTATGGATAGAATTTGCATTATAATGTGTCCTGATGTGGGTCTGTTGTAATTTTGCACTTTTGGAGCCCTGTATTTGATTTTCCATTTCATTCTTTAGGTTTGGGAAATTTCCTGATATCATTTCATTAAAAAGATTGTGCATTACTTTGGTTTGTATCTCCATGCCTTCATCTAGGTTTTTCATATTATCCCATAATCCTTGGACATGCTGTTCATGCTGTTCATCTTCTCTGTGTGGTCAAATTCATTTTCAAGTTTATATATTTTCTCTTCATTGCCTGAGGTTCTGTCTTCCAAGTGGGCTAGTCTGCTGGTGATGCTTTCCATTGACTTTTTAATTTGTTTTATTGATTTCTTCATTTTGAGGATTTCTGATTTTTTTCCAGAATCTCTCTCTCTTAATTGAAGTGATCTTTCACTTCCTGAAATTTATCTCTGATTTCACTCTTTACATCAACCTTTAAGTCATGGATCAGTTTAACTATGTATATTCTAAATTCTTTCTCTGATGTTTCTTCTACTGCGGTGTCTATGGATTCTATTCTTTTTGGAGGGTACTGGGATTTGAACTGGGGGTTGAACTCAGGGACACTCAACCACTGAGCCACATTCCCAGACCTTCTTGTATTTTATTTAGAGACAGGATCTCACTGAATTGCTTAGTACCTCACAGTTGCTGAGGTTGGCTTTGAACTTGTAATCCTCCTGCTTCAGTCTCCCAAGCTCCTGGGATTACAGGCATGCAACACCACACCCAAGTCCATGGATTCTATTATTGGAGCCTCTTGGTTTGTTTGGGGTGCTTTGCTCCCTTGTTTTTCATGTTGTCTTTGTCTGCCCATCTAGCGGTATGGATCTGAGGCAGTACTGTTTTTACCCTGTCCCTTGAATATTTCCCCTCATATTTAGAGGGGAGACAAATAATAATGGCACTTAATGTAAACAATGTATGGCCTTAAACCAAATAGCTCCTATTAAGAGTTAATAGTTTTGTCACATTAAACAGAAATGATGTGTTTAATTATCATCTATGATATAAACAGTAAATTTGCAAAAGAGTTTGTGATTTCAAATGAGGATTACAAGTTCAATGAAGTATTATAGGATTGATGTTTATGAGGAAGGAAGAGAGAAGACTGAAGTAGAAAATTATTGAAAAAATGAAATAGGGAT